CTTCTAGTCCTTTCCTCCTCCACCGCTCTACAAGACAAGGGTGCCCTTTGTCCCCATTGCTATTTGCACTTGTCATAGAACCTCTTGCCATTCAATTACGCTCTACAAAAGATTATAAAGGAATAAGGAGATTTGGTGTAGAACATAAGGTGTCTCTCTATGCAGATGATTTTTTTTTGCTATATATCACTGACCCTACTAAATCATTGCCAAAAATTATGACAGTTTTAACTGAATTTGGGAAAATTTCTGGATACAAAATCAACTTAACAAAAAGCATATTGTTTCCGATTAGTTCTTTAGAAAAATTAGATAGCGCTACATTGATCTCGTTTCCTTTTACAATCTCAAATACCTTCAAATATCTTGGAATAACTGTAACCCGTGAATTCTCTGGCCTTTTTAAACATAATTTTGTTAATTTATACCATCAAACTGAACAGAACTTGGAAAGACTGTCTAAACTGCCCATCTCGCTTGCTGGCCGAGTAAATATCATTAGGATGAGCACTTTACCCAAATTTTTATTTTTGTTTCAATGTATCCCAATATTGATCACAAAAGTTTTTTTTAAGAAAATAGACCAGTTAATCTCTCAGTTTATCTGGAACAAAAAGACACCCAGAATAAAAAAGATATTTCTCCAAAGATCCAAGATTACAGGAGGAATGGGGTTGCCTTGTTTTCAGTTTTATTATTGGGCCTGTAATATACGTTGTATGTCATTCTGGGGCGGGGAACATAGACCTGATTGGGAACGGATGGAAAGTATGACTTTTTTCTTCAATACTCTTAAATCTTTGGTTCATTCAAACTCAGATCTGGGTAAGCATAAATGTAAAAATCCGGTAGTGTCTGACTCACTAAAAATTTGGTCTCAAATTTGAAAGCATTTTCATTGGCATCAATGTTCAATCTTTACACCATTAATTCATAATCAAGCATACACATTGCTCTCAGGATCAACATTCCAGCTATGGAGTTCCAAAGGGATACACACAATCAAGGATCTGTTTATTGATAATCTTTTTCCTTCGTTTCAACAACTTCAGCAAAGATTTTCCATAGAAAACAGAGATTTTTTCAAGTATTTACAAATACGTCATTTTTTTAAAGAAACGTTTCCATCCTTTCCCAATGAACCACAAAAGCTAGTTTCAGATGATCTATTCTTAATGAACCCGCTAAAGAAAGGAGCTATTTCTAGGATCTACAACCAACTTTTGCAAATAGACAGTACAACTACATTGGACCACTTGAGATATGCTTGGAGTGAAGAACTGGCTACTAACATCACTAAAGATCAATGGACTAAGGCACAAGAACTGGTTCACTCCACTTCTGTCTGCTGCAGGCACAGACTACTACAATTTAAGGTCTTGCATAGGCTCCATCTGTCTAAATTGAAGGTTTCAAGGATGTTTCCAGGGGCTGACTCAAGATGTGATCGATGTGGCCAGAATTCTGCCTCATTGTCACATATGTTTTGGACATGTCCTAATATCGCTACCTACTGGTCTAAAATATTTAAAACT